GGGGGTCCCTGGGAGCCTGGGCTCCTCCCATGCCCATCAGTGCCTCCAGTTCCTCGGATGTTGCCAGCCATTCATTTTGCTGCCCTCTGAGATGGTGCCATTCCCCTCCTGTGCCTGTCACTGACCTGCTCACCCTGAGCTCCCTGAAACCCTTGGGACCCTTGCACCCCTCCCCTCCACCCCGAGTGAGCCCCACTCGACTCAGGAGGGCTATATCTCAGTTCTTCCATACTCACCACCCATCACATACACAGCAGTGTTAGCTCCCATTTCCTGGGGGTGTCCCATGGGCCAGAGACCTCATTAGAAGCTTTCCTTAAATAGCACTGATGTTTATGTTGGTGTTGCCTCAAAGAAAGCATCATCTTCATAGACAAGAGTGGGCAAGTTGGGTCCCTGTAATCCCAGGACTCAGGGGGCCAAGCCAGGAGGATCACCCTGAGTTCAAGGTCAGCCTGAACTACATAGTGAGTTTAAGGCCAGCTTGAACTATGTAACAAGGCCCTGCCTCAGAAAAGGAAAGGACAATCATCAGAGAGGTTTAGGGCTTGCCCAAGGTGGCAAGTGAACCATGGGGCAGGGCGTGAGCAGCTCACCCTCTCAGACTCTTACACACTGATCATCTCTGAGCTCCTCCACTCAGGCTCTCGCCCAGCTCTGCCTCTCGTCTCCTGCTGCCCCCTGCTGCCCTCTCTTCAGAGTTCACCATTCCCTTCATCACTCCATTTCTGCCAGGACTTTCCCCAGAATCCGTCATCAGAGGGACGCACCAGTGTACCCCCCCTTCCTCCTCCTCATCCTTCCTTGTCCCACACAGCTGGGCTGCTGGTGGGAGCTGCCTCTGTCACTGTCACTGTGGCCACTTGCTGGGCTGCTTGTATGCTGGACTCTGCCCTCACCACTCACCAAGGTGTCGAGGCTATCGCCTGGCACTGATCTGCCCTTCTTGACCTCCAAGAAGTGCTGATACTTCATGACTGTTTCAGCTTCCAGGTCCCTGGCCCCATCTTCTCCCAGCGTTCTGTTTCATAAGAGGAGGCAGAGAGGCTTGGCCCTTGATGCACACGAGCACTGCTTTGCTAATGGAAAGCTGCTGAATTCTGTAGAGCTGAAGTTCCATATAAATAGGCACAAATTTCCTCTCCATTTAGCCATCAATCACTGTAACAAAGGTATTGATATTAATAACTCGCATGTGTAGCAGTTCACAGCTGTACACAGAGCTTCTGCGTGACCCTTCGGTATTCCTGTCTGTGTGCAAGTGAAAGGCTTTTGTGTCTCCTCAGTATAATGTTGGCATCGTTAGATTCTGCTCTGCCCTAGTAGCACTACCAAGTAGCCTGCTTTTTTTTTTTTTTTCTTTCTTTTTTCTTTTTTGTCTTTTTCGTTTTTATCGGTACCAGGGATCGAACTCACGACTGCCTGCTTGCAAGGCAGGTGCTTATACCGCTGAGCTATATCCCCAGCCCCAAGTAGCCTGCTTTTGATGAGGGGGCTAACTAAAGACCTCTGGGCATCATCATTGCATAACTGGTCATTGACAGGTTTTCGATCCTGGGAGCAGGACCAAAGGACCCGATCACTTTCATAGCCTGTGTTATACTGGGGGTGAGGAGAAGCCAGGGCAGCACGGAAGACATGGGAACTCAGCAGGCAGGCCGAGGCCCAGCTGCAGGACCTGAGACCCAGGATCCACATGCAGTGTGGCCAGACCTGGCCACTTCTTGACACTCCTGTGTAGGTTACACTTTGTAAGGGACACTTGGAGCTTTAAACGAGGGTGGCAAGCAGTTGTCTTTGGCACCAGCTCCCACCAGCTGGGAAGATGACTGGCAGTGTGGGGTGGCCCTCAGAAGTGGGAGAGAACTCCGTTATCAGATGACACTGTTGCTTTAGTGTGAGTGAAGGCAGACACAAGAATGTGTGCCACATCTTTACCATAGCAGCTTTGAGTTTTGTGGGGTAGGGGTGTGTGTGTGTGTGTGTGTGTGTGTGTGTGTGTGTGTGTGTGTGTGTGTGTGTGCGCACGCACGCACGCGCTATGCACACATGCTTTGCTGACCTCACGATTGCTAGGCGTCTCCCAAGCTGCCTGGCACTAACCCAGCTAGAACACTCAAGCGTGTCATTAGGTCAGGAACTCGGCTGCCTCAGCGGTTTCCCAGTGTGAACTCAGACGTCCTTCCTTCCTAAGTGTGACTTTCTTTGGAGTCAGCAAGCATTGGACACAAAGAGGCCACTGGAATAAGGGTTTTGCAGCATTGCACTGCCCTCCTTTGCACTTGTTGATTGGCCTCCACTGTGGGCAGGCTCTTCCTGCTCCATCCGAAGCCGTGGCCCTTCGCACATTCCGGCTCTCTTAGTCTTCACTGCAGGAAACTTGGGGGGTCCTGTTTCTCTGCAAGAACTCCTCTGACTTCTGGGAAATCTCCAGCTCCCCTCCTCCGACCTTGCCTCCTACGTCCTGTCCTCTGGACCCTCAGGCTGCAATATAGTCAGCCCAGAATGACCTTCATTGACCTTGGCTGGGTTTCAGAGCATAGGATGTCCCCACAGCAAGGGCTTCTTGCCACTCAGCCATAGCCAAACAGGGTCACAGGCACCTCTGTCCAGCGTGTGTCATTTCTCTGCAGTGAGCAGCCCTGTTGGGTTGATGGCTGATCACAGAGTACCAAGTCCTCCTCTCAACCCATGACCTTCACCTCCCACCCAAACCCTGCAGTGGAATGCTGCCTCCTATCCAGATCTTTGATGTGTTGAATTTTATTTGGATATTTACATATTGCTACCAAAAGCACAGTCAGAAAGAAAACAGCACCATCTCAGGCAAAACAGCCCCTCCAGCCTGTCCTGTGTGCTATATACACTGAGGACCTGGGGTGGGCCTCAGTTGTAGAGCACTTCTCTGGATATACAAGGCCCTGGGTTCCAGCCCGAGCACTGCACAAACAAACAAACAACCACACACCCCTTTTACTTACACTTTTGCATTGTAGGGGTGATGTGATATGCAAGCCTTTGACAGCACTAGAGCCAGTTCGAAAACAGCTCTGAACTTGACCAATGTCTGAAGTTCACTTTGAAATGCCTTTTAAAATTCAGGTGGATGCATGGGTAGATGGACGGATGGATGGACATGTGATAGAGCCACCCGTAGCATCCACTTTCCGTGGGATCCACACAGTACATATGTGGAAGCTCACTGCATGATCCTTTGAACTTTGCCACAGGTAGGAAACTTCCATAATAAAATGTTGCGGAAATTGCCCCCGACAGTGAGCCGGTGTGATTTAAACCAGGCTCTTGACCAAGGCAGCCCTGAGGCTAGGGAGTGGGAGCTGTGCTCGTTGGATTCGTTTCATCTGTGAAGAGTTCCTGTGGGAGTTCTGCTGTCTAGCCCCCAAGCTGCTGCTGGTCACACACTGATGGAGAGGTCACGGTGGTTCTCAGTCCAGAGCACAAGTCTGCGACCTTGTGCTGCCTGCCCCTCCTTCCCCACCCCGTGTAACCCTTGAGCAGCTGGAGCTCAGCACTCTCCTGCAGCCTCAAGTCCCATGCCAGCTCCACTCAGTCTGAGCTGTGTTCCCAGCCTGCTCCTGGCCTGACTGCTGCTGTCCTGCAGGAGGCTTTGCCATCTGACTCTGTGCAGCCTGTGGAGTGGACTGGGGCTGGGGCCTGGGGCCACCTGGGCAGATGGGAATGCCATCCTGCATGGGTGACTTGGAGACTGGGGGCTCCAGACGGTTGCCCCACCCCCTGCAGCCTGCAGTTCACAGGCACCTGGGGCCAGGAAGCTAAGAGGCCGGGGAAGAGGCTGTGGAACTAGGTCCTCCTGTATGGGGAAAGGGGTCCACAAGGAGGGGCTGGCAGCCAGTACCAGGAACTCGGAGTGACTCAGAGGTGGAGGCACATGCACAGCCCCCCTCCCCACAGCCACCCACCCTGCCTCTGCAGTCTGCACTGCCTTGTAGGTGGCCACTCAGTAAATGCAACTCTTGTGTTTTGCTGACAATAGCAGCCTTAGCAAAATGGCATTAGGAAGGAAGACATGTTGCAGAGATAGCACGGAGTAGGCTTTTTAAAATTAAGAGCCATGTGTAGCACTGTGTTGTGGTCCTCCATGTATTCCTGTCCTGTGTCACTCTGATGTCTGCTCCTCCATCTCCTGGACTGCAGGATCTCAAGGCCTGAGCAAGAAGCCAGCATCTCACCAGGGCAGAGGGAGGACAGTTGTGCTAGTTTTGGGATGGGGCTATAACAAATTACCACACATTTAGTGGCAGAAAGCAACACGGATTTACTCCCTTATGTTTCTGCAGGTCAGAAGTTAGAATTCATTTTCCCTGGGCTTAAATCAAAAGTGCCTACAGGCCGCACTCCCCCCTAGGTGCTGGGGAAAGTGCACCCCTCGCTTTTCCAGCTCCCAGAGCCGCATTCCTTGCGTTCCTTGGCTCCTGGCTTCCTATTCCATCTGCAAAGCCAACAGCAAAGCATCCAGCTCCTGTTGTCCCTCGGCCACTGTAGTCAAACCTCCCTCTTTTCCTCTTGTAAGAAACTCACGACTGGCCAGGGTTTAGCTCAGTGGTGTAAATGCCTGCTTGGCAAATGCAAAGTTATGAGTTCGATCCTTGGCACTCCAAAAAGGAAGTTTGTAACCCTCTACTCTCAAAATCCTTACCTCATCTCATCTGCAAAGTTTTGCCTTGTAACATTCACAGGTTTTGGAGGTTAGGTTGGGGACATAATTGAGAACCAGTTTGGGTATAACAACTTGTCAGGAAGCTTCCCTAGGTCCTCTCCTGTGGCACCTGGTGGCCACAATCTGGACTGATTTAGAGCTCCCAGACCCCGCCAGGTCACACACGTTACTCCCAGGCTGAGGGTAGAGTCAGCGTCTCCTCCCCTGTTGGATCCTCTGTGTTGCACATGACAGGAACTGAGGGGTTGTGTGTTCACGCCCGGAGCCCAGCGGGCCCTGATGCACGTGTGTGTTCTTGCAGGCCATGGAGAGTGTCACTGTGGAGAATGCAAGTGCCATGCAGGTTACATTGGGGACAACTGTAACTGCTCGACAGACATCAGTACATGCCGGGCCAAGGACGGGCAGATCTGCAGTGACCGTGGGCACTGTATCTGTGGGCAGTGTCAGTGCACAGAACCTGGAGCCTTTGGGGAGACATGTGAGAAGTGCCCAACCTGCCCGGATGCTTGCAGCACCAAGAGGTAATGGCCCCACCTGCTGCCTTCACGCTTGCCTGGCACCCAGCCAGGCAGCTGCACCTGGGCAGCCTCCCTCCCCACCACCTGGCCTTCCACCCACCCAGCCTGGCTCCTACTAACTCTAAAAACCGTGGCTTTGAATGCTGGTTCCATGGGGATTTTGTAAAGAGAACAAAAAAATGGAACACAAAAACAAGACCGCTATTCTATTCCTAAATGAGTTGAAGCTACAGGATTACTGAGTTAAGTGAAACTAAACTGGTGTTTGTACCAAACACAGTGCTTTCTCTGAGCCTTGAGTACACTATTGTGCATTTTCAAAAGGGAATGCGGTGTGCACCTTTTTCAGATAAACTTGATCTTATCCATTAACATCTCCTGAACAGTGTTTCATGGAACCCTGTATGGGAAGTGCTGCTTTAAACAAAACATCATCAGAAGGTAAATGGGATAGAAAGGCACCCGACCCAGATAAGACCCCACAGAAACAAGCGCAGTGGCTCTTGGATTTTCTGCTCCATTTATGCTGATAATGGAGCCGGGCTCAGTGTGCGCTGAATGCAGAGATTGTCTGGACCAGGCCTATTGCCACTGGCCTGCTCCAGCTCTCACGGCCCCTTGCCGGCCTCCCCGCAGCTCTGTCTGCACACTGCCAGAGGTGAGGGAGGGCGAGTCCCGGAAGTCGGCTCTGCAGCCTGGAGCAGGAGTGACATTCCATCTGTGAGCGAAACAGCTTTTTGTCATCCTCTGTGCTAGGGCGAGAGGGAAGCAGGGGCATAGCCGATCAGAAACCATCATAGGACAGACCTCATTTCTCTTTGGCTGGGGAACACACTGCACTTTCCTTTTGGCAGATCTCCCTTCCAGACGTCTGGTCCCCGGCTGATAATGAAATGAGTTCACGCTGTCTGAACTCACAGCAGCTACTGGTCAGCTCACGCTCGGAAGTGTTCCTGGGGGCAGAAACTTGGGTTGGATATGCCCCAGACCTGCAAGCGGGGTCACTGAAGCCAGACACCCTTGGAGAGACAAGATAGCCAGGGGCAGGCTCTATCTTGTTTAAAGCAGGCGGGGAAAAGTGAGGAGAGGAAGACAGGTGCCATGGCTGGTGCAGGAGGCTGGCATAAATGACCAGAGCAGAGCTGCCGCTTCCTGGCCCCAGCCCAGCCTCCCTGGCTGCCCCTGGGCTGACTGTTGGAGGAAGTGCAGGCCTTCGCAGCCCGTTTCCAGCTCCACAGTGTTTCCATGAAGTCAGCCCAGGAGAATGGGATTTGAGGCCAGCTCTGATACAGCTGAATTCCTGAGCGTATCAGTACCCCCCGAGGAGAGTCCCCCTTTCTGTACATGATCTGCCTGACCTTTATTGATGTCCAGGCAGCAGAGGAGGCGCTGTCTGGGAGACAGGACACCGGGGACAGACCCACTCCACAATCAGCATGGGCCTCCTGTTTGTCCTCTGTAAAATAGGGGACTGAAATCCCCATGCTGCTAGTCCACAGCTCCTGCGTCAGAAACGCTTTATTAACCGGCCCCCTAATCCTCTGGAGTTAAAGCCAGGTGATGATGAGGGCCATCTGTACGCTCACACCCATTTAGCTCTCCAGAGAGCTTTCTAAACACACAGCCTTGCTGGCCTGGCAGGCCTGTGGGGCAAGTGGGTGCCTGTCCCTGGGTACCTGAGGTCACCTCTTCAGAGCCAGGTGCAGCCATAGTGACACAGTGGTCTCCCCTGTGCATCCCACTCTGGGACTCTAACACGGCACACTATGGCTCTCTCCCCTGGACACTCGACAGGCCACTGAGCCCCACTGAGTCACAGATCCCTGAGGGTGACTCTCTGCTGGGCCATTTGGTTGACCTGCTCTTGCTGAGTTTACCTCTCCCCTCCCACACCATCCATCGAGCTCTGCAGTCCTTAGCCTGGTTCCACCTCCTGTGGGGACTGGGGTTGGGCTCCAGGAAGTATAACAGCCATGTAATCGAACATGGTAACCCAGCATTTCTACACAGTCTGGTTCAAGCCAAGTGGGAGGACACAGAGGACCTCCTAGTTTTTCATCCACTCTCTAGAGAAGGCCCTCATTATAAAATGTGTTCCCTGAGCCTGGACTAAACAATTAGGTAGACTGATGGCCAGGGAAATGGCCAACAGGGCCCTTGGGATCTGGCAGCTGGGCTCTGTCTAGGCTGGGGATGGGCTGGGCCTAAGGTACCCATGGGCAGCGGTTCTCACCCTTCACTGTGCCCTAGTGTCAGCCTCAGAGAAGCAGATCCTGTAGGTGCAGTTGGGCCCAGGCTTTAGAGTCTTCCCCTGAAAGGTTCTGCAGAGTCCAGCATGCAGGAAGGTGCTGCACTTTCCCTGGGGTGTGGTTGGTCCGGGCTCCTGGGAATAATCTTATTCCCCCGACACTTGTTGGGAATCAATTCCCCAGCCAGGTGTTCGATGGCTGGCAGAGAGCAGACAGAACTGGCTCCAGGCGTCCAAATTGAAAAGGTCTGCACCTCCCAAGTTAGCCAGGAGACCAGACATGACCCAAACTCACAAGTATCCTCCAGAAACCCAGAGGCTTCCTAGGGCCAGTAGCAGGCAAAGCAGAGGCCAGACGTCTGAGGATGGAGCAGTTAAGCCTCTGGGGACCCTTGCCTATGAGAGCTCAGTTTCAAGTGTGGATGTCATACAGCACTAACAGCCATATTCGTTTCCTCTTTTCCAAAGAGACTGTGTTGAGTGCTTGCTGCTCCACTCTGGGAAGCCTGACAACCAGACTTGCAACCACCCATGCAAGGACGAGGTGATCACGTGGGTAGACTCCATCGGTGAGTGACCAGGGCAGCCTCGCCCTGTGGTCTGGGCGGGTGCCCAGGCATTGCCTCCTCCGCGGGTAGGAGGGTCATCTTGGTCTTGAGTCAGGAAGCAGGGCTGTGACTTCCTTTGCACCTCTGCTGGCTCGCCTACAGGTCACTGGCCTGGAGTCGCTATATGCAGCTCATAAGCATAAAGTGATGCCCGTGCTTTGGAAGTCAATTCGGCAGCTCCCCCGAAAGTTAAGCATAGAATTGTAACACAGTCCAGCAGTTCCACTCCCAGGCATATACATGCCCAGGAGACTAGGCCTGTGTCTACCCAAAACTGGTACCCAGTGTTCATAGCAGCGTCAGTTACAATAGTCAAAACTTGGAAACATCCCCTGTCCATCTGAGAATGATTAGCAAACCAAATGTGTAATCTCCAGAGCATGGAATTTTATATAAAGGAGTGAAGTTCTGACACACGAGACAGTGTAGAATGTTATCCCCAGTGAGAGAAGCCAGGCAGAAGGGAGCAGCGGTCTGTCGTATGAAATGTCCAAGGTAGGCAAAGGCTTCTGGGACAGTGGAGGCTCCGCCAGGGGCCGAGGATTGGGACTGACCACCACCTGGTGTGTGTGTAAGTTTCTTTTTGCAGTGATGGGAATGCACTGAAATTAATCGGAATGATTACATTGTGAATTTACTAAAACGGACTGTATTTTGGAATGTAGGGAGAAAGAGAAAAGCTATGCCCCTGGCAGGTGGAGTGCACCTAGGGCTCTTCCAGCAGGCTGGTGTCCTCTGCCTGACTGCAGCCTCACAGGGTCCTGGTACCTGTCTATCTCAATCCTTGTTCCCACCTCCCTGGTGTTGATTGACTGCTGGACGCACTCATGGCTCTGTGTTGCATATTTTTCCCACAGATGCTCGGTGCTACATGCCAGACGCTGGGCTGAGCACTCCCCGCCACTTCTGTGTCCACTCCACCTTGCTGCCCAGGGCCTGGCTTGTGCCAAGTTTCGCCAGCAGTGCCAGGCCAGTTCCCCTAACTATGCACACATTGTCATGAGAGAAGAAAGCTGGCTTCCTGTGTCCCACAAACCACTTCCCCGTCCAGGCCTGGGCAGTGGATGTGTAATTCATTTGCCGCCTGCCAAACACTTCTTTGAAAGATACACAATGCTCCCTCACCTCTCCCAGGCTCATGATGGACTCTGAAGGGAGCCAAGCCTTGGTGTTCTGCAACCACACTAACAGTATGTGCTGCCTGCTTACAGTGCCTCTGCTCAACCAGGTGAACCAGGCAGTGGCTGGAAAGGAAGGAGCTTTTCACGTCTTCCCCCGACTCTCCTGTCGTTCTGTGATTGTTTTCTTTGCATCCCTCTTTGTCTTTCACCTCTAGCTCCTTTCTTCTCCCAGGGAAACCATGGGGTGCAGACAGAGCCCTGAGTCCAGTACAGAACAGGGGTGCGGCTCACTGTGTCTTGGGGCGCACGTGCCCTCTTCACCCTGGGTGCCTGCTGATTCTGCAACGCAGGGAGAGCTGCCTGCCGCCCAGCCTCTGCATGGTGACACTGTGTCCCAGGTGTGGGCGGGCTCAGGGAAACTTTCTCCTTATCCCTCTAATTTCCATCCAGTTCCATCCACCAGTCTCTACCCGCAACCATTAAAGTGTTCTTTTATTTCACATCACCCCCAGGAAACACTTCAGGGGCTGAAGATCTTCTGATGAGATCCATGTGTCCCCAAAGCAATAAACTCAGCTCTGGGCCCAGGAGCTTGACATGAGAAGCCTGAGCCCATTTAAAAGCCCCAGCGCCCCTTTGGGCTCCCTGCTCGATTTCTCTTTGGAGGTGCCTAGCTCCCCAGGGAGCCCCTGGCCCTCTGGCTGACCAGCAGTGTGCTCAGAACCTTCTGCTGCTTCTCTTCTAGTCAGTGATGAACAGGAAGCCGTGCTCTGTTTCTACAAGACTCCCAAGGACTGTGTCATGATGTTCACGTACACTGAGCTGCCCAGCGGGAAGTCCAACCTCACGGTCCTCAGGGAGCCAGGTGGGTGGGAGCCCCACGCCCGGCCCACTCGGCCCAGGGCCCCCCCCCCATTCCGGTTTCTGGTGCACTTCTCTGCTTGAGGATTCACTCAGCATTCCTCGTGAAGGGTGGATGGAAGGCCATTAGGTGGAGCTGGTCACACAGCTGGGGCTCATTGCAGGGACAACTCTGAGCATGGATAAGACAGAACAGCCTGTGGGAGTCGTATCTTACAGGAGATCTAGTACCCTCTGCCTGTGCGGCTCTGTGCTCCTTGCCTGTATCGGACAGTGTCCATCTGAGCACATGGGCAGCCCCGGCGGCTGCAGCTGCCACCTCCTACCTCCCACTTCCCATGCGGGTTTCTCACGGACAGGGAGACTCTGCGGAGGAGGCCAAGCTCTCTCGCCCAAACACTGACATTTCTGCCGTGTGTTTTGGGCTCAGGGACCCAAGCTTTTGCCTTGGAGCTAAACTGGAAATCCTTAGTTACCCTTTCGTTCTCCTCTGGAATAGACAGGCCGTGAAGGGGAAGAAGCAGAAAAAAAATGTGCTGCTTTCAATTCACAGCATTGCAAACTCTGCCAAGCCTCATAGTGAGCCCGCCATGGGCAGAGGCAAAAGGAAGTGTGGGACCAGCCAGGATGCCTGGTCCTGAGAGGGAAGCTTTGCCCCCAAGCTCTGTCCTCACAGTTCTTTGAAAACAAATGCATTTCCTCCCAGGGACTCCACACTCAGGGCTTAGCACTGAGGGCCACTCCCAACCAAGCACTTGTGGAGGTGGCTCGGGCCACCTCCTGCTGGCCCAGGCCACTCCTGAAACTCCTAACAGGGAGCCCGAGCCAGGGAAATGCAGCCGTCCGAGCGCTGGCATTGTAGACTTTGCTGGCAGCTGACCGTGTGACCTTGGAACAGCTCCCTGTCTGCACACTGTGAGAAATGTCTGCCTCTGGCCCCCATCGCCATCTCACAGAGGCAACCTGGGATCAGAGAGCAGAGGAAGTCCCCTGAAAGGTGATCTTCCCTCTCAGACACGTCTAGACCTAGGGCAGAGCATGTGGGATGTGGGGTGCAGATGTCATGGCTCACTGTGCTTCCTCCGGTCCCTTTCAGAATGTGGAGCCGCCCCCAACGCCATGACCATTCTGTTGGCTGTGGTGGGCAGCACCCTCCTGATTGGGCTTGCACTCCTGGCCATCTGGAAGCTGCTTGTTACCATTCATGACCGCAGAGAGTTTGCAAAGTTCCAGAGTGAGCGCTCCAGAGCCCGCTACGAGATGGTAAGCAGGGAGGGGCAGAGAGGAGACTTCCGGCCAGAGGCACAAAAAAGGTTCCCTGGCATGGCTGGTATTAAAAATAATCAGGGTTGGGGATGTGGTTCTATGGTAGATCACTTGCCCAGCATGCAGAGACACTGAGTTAGATCCTTGATCCCCACTCCCAAAGAAAAAGAAACATGGGAAGCCACACACCCACAGACTTGCCCAGTGCTGGCCCAGGAGGAGTGCAGCGTGGGCCCAGAGGGCCTGCACAGAGCCGAGGGGCAGGGATACGCCCCCTGTCCGCGTGATGGTTCCGCACAGGCTCAGGGACAAAAGGCCCACAAGGAAGCTGCTCACATTCTGGTCCATCGCAGTGTTCCCCGCTCACACAAGGAAGTTCGTCTCCCCAGGTGGACTGCAGGCTCAGAAAGGGCTGTGCACAGTTAGGTACTTAGTCCCCAGGCAGCGTCTGTTGAGGTTGAGACCTTCTGACTCCAACCGATCTTGCCGAGATGAAGAGTGAAAGCTCTGAGAGGCTGAGGGGCTCTCCCAGGGGTGCAGAGTCAGTCGGAGGCGAGTGTCCGGAGCAGGGCGTCCCCTCCCGTCTGTGTGCTCCAGCTCTGTCTGTGGTGTGCATGAGGAACTAACCCCCATCCTCTTGCCTCTCTCTCCCGCAGGCCTCCAACCCGCTCTACAGAAAGCCCATCTCCACACACACCGTGGATTTTACCTTTAACAAGTTCAACAAGTCCTACAATGGCACAGTGGACTGACGGCCTCTCCTAGAGCACTGGCGGGGGTGAAAGACAGGGTCAGCCTGGAACACCCAGGACAGCTCGGGTTCGGGCAGAACTCCCTAGATAGGTAAGCAGTGAAGCTCTTTGGGTGAGCAGGGCAAAGAGCCCACTGCCACACAGAGGGGAACTAGTCATGCCACCTGGCTGCCAGGCCACAGCCACGCTCAGCCACCTCCCCACACAGCAAGGGGATCCCTATGCTCGTGGCTTGCCCTGTCCCCTCAAGTGCGTCGGCCTGATGAACTGCTGAGGTGCTGGCTGCATCTCCCTTCCGGCCTGTCATCCAGGAAGGCTCCAGGGAAGGATCCGAGGATGTGACACCAGGGTGCAGCCTGGCTTTTTTCGTGTTGACCACTTTTATATGAAATAAAGAGATCATGCTTGCACGGCGTAGCTCTGATTACTAAGGATTGTCTGCCTGGGGATCCGGGCCTCCCGTGTGTTGGTGATGGGATTGTTCTGTGCCTGTTTGTTTAGTCCTTCTGTAATGAAGAGGAAAGAGACTGTCTGGGATTGAAAGTAAAGACCGGAACCAAATGAGCTTGTGTTGCCTGATTCTCTGACGTGTGCGATGCTTTCGGAGTGGTCTTGAATGTACCCCTTGGGGGCTGATACACATAGCCATGTACCTCTCAGGGACTGGACATGAGCAGTCTAACACTCCAGAATGGGGTACATCAAAAGCAGCTCCCCAGGGTGCTCAGGCATTTGGGATGGCTCCAGGGAACACCAGGCAGGTACCCCTGGACCCACCCAGCTTTGACTTTGAGAGAATTCTAGGCTAGAAAGTAGATGCTCTGGAGTGCTAACTCTGATCTGGCAGACAACAGAGCATCGGGCTGTGGCGTCCACAGTCACTTCTTACAACATTAGTATCAATTGTAGTTCCCTTCCAGTGCCTTTCCCACCGTCTCCAGTGTGCCATCCACACCCACAGCACAGCTTAGTTCAGCTGTTATTTCCTGCAGAGCCCTGAAGTCCCCTTAGGTTCCTGTGTCAAGACAACAAAGATCCCAGAGGTCATCTGACCCTGTTCCCCTATTCGCAGGAGAAGTCACTTCTCCCTGGGAAAGTGGCCTGGCCAAGTATCAGGCTCGTGATAATCTGGTAAAAGACCCTGTGCTCACAGCCACCTGCTGGCCCTCAAAATGCCTTTCCATCTCGGCATCACTCCGGGGCTTCTGCTCCTGCATCCCAAAGTCTGCTTTTAGGAGATCGATCCCCTGCATCCTTTTGCCAACAAGAAGACTGTTGTCTGTCACTGAACAGGGACAATGACCTTGGGCAAAAGAACAGGTTCCTGGTTTCCTTCCTCTTGTGTAACTGGGGAGGCCGCCCTAAGTCCTTTATGGAATAAAGCCAAGTGTAAATGAAAACATACAACAGATAAATAAAATGCGTTTTGAGACCTACATTGAGAAAAATAAAAGATCTTGGAAGGAATTTTCAGATCTCTCCCATTTGGTTGTGAGTGAGCCTTCTTGAGACAAAGCTTTAATGCGTTTGGAGCCCGTTTTCTATAGGCAGCTCTGAGCACTCAATATGCTTGGACGATAAACAGACACTAGCAGTGGTGGGAACGTTTTAGAGCTTGCAGTGATAAACAGCCGGATGTGGCACCAATGCACTCCAGGGAGGGATCTGAGGACGGCCCAGCCACCCGCAGAGCCTTGCTGTCCCCTGCTGGCAGCTCTTGGCACAAGCAGCTTGGGGACCTGACTCCTGCTCTAGTGCTCACAGTTACACGCGGCTGACAGTGACAGCAAAGACTTCCTATTCCTCATTCTACAACCAGCCCAAATGATGCTTAAGATTTTTATTGGCTTATTTGAACAAGTTTTTTTTTTTTGTCTTTTTTTTTTTTTTTTTATCGGTACTGGGGATCAAACTCACGACTGCCTGCTTGCAAGGCAGGTGCTTATGCCACTGAGCTAAATCCCCAGCCCCTGAACAAGTTTTCTAATTATACAAAATTCTAAATGAACAATAAAAATCAGCGAAAGTAAGAATCCTTTGAGATTGCACCATTCAGAGGTACCTACGCTTGACCTTTGCTGCAGTTTGGTCCCCCAAAGGCCCATTCATTAAAGGTTTGGTCCCCAGCCTAATGTTCTCCTGGGAGGTGGAAACTGAGGCAGGGCCTAGCAGGAGGTGTTTGGGTCACTGGCCCTCCCTGGAGTGGGTGATAGGGCCCAGCCCCAAGCTCTCTCCCTGTTCCTGCAGTGAGGTGGGTGGCTCGGACACATGGCCACAGGCTGAATGCTGCCTTACCCCGGGCTGAAGCAAGAGGCCCAATCATTGAGGGCCTGCAACTTCCAAAACCATGAACTAAAGAAAGTATTTTACTAACTTGATTATCTCAGGTATTGGTTAATGCAACGGAAAGCTGGCTAACAGCCTTTGTTGTGTGACTTCTCAAGTCTTCTCCACACTTGCATATGTAACTTTAACCTGATGATGATCCTTGCATCTGTCTCACTCATGAAAACCCAGCATGGAGATCAAACACCAAATACATATAGTGTGTTTCTTCCTACATATATATACCTACGATGAAGTTTATAAACTAGGCATAGTAAAGGACTGTTAATTAGCAATAAAATAGAAAAATTACAATGTGCATAGTAATACTATGTAAATGTGCTTGCAGGAAATTTCACTGTAATCACCCATATTGTGATTATGGGAGATGATGCAATGTAATGAAAACGAGGTGAATGCTGTAGGCATTGACATGTAGTGTTAGACTGCCGCATATATAAAGGTTACTTAAACACTGAGAGTCAATCTGATAAGAGTTCCGGGGTTACAGGTGTGTGACACACATCTAGCAGTGTGTCCTGTTAAATATGATCATTTCAGGGTCCTTCCACACTGCTGAATGCAGGGAGACCCTGCAGGGTGAGGACTATGGAGGTGAGTCAGGAAGCTGTGTCTGTGTATAGAAACCCACGGATACTTGCCTATCCTTGTCTGAACCTCAATTGTGTGGTCCTCCCCACTTTCCTCTGAAAGGTCAAGAGACCTCAGCCCACCAGGTCTGTTTCTCACGTCTTTCTTCTTTTCCAGGACACAGACAGACTGAGTTTCTCTGCCCTGTCACTCGAGTTACAGGGTGCTCAGGCTGCCTTGGGGTGTCACCAGACACGCAGTTGCTGGCCCATGGCCAAGCTCTGTACTGGGTGAGGGGCTCTCCAGTCCCTTCACAGCTTCCCTGGGCCCTTCCCAGAAAGACCAGGTGCAGGCCTCTGCCGTAGCCCCAGGCTAACACGGTGTGCACCCTCTTCGGGTCTCTCTGGGACTCAGGAGCCCTGTGCCCCTCCTTCCTCTCCAGTGCCGGGGTGTGTTTCTCTGACTGGCAGGAGACAGGGCTTGGCAGATTTTCTTCCAATTCAGCACTAATGCCAAAGCCTTGAACTTTTAAATGCTAAACCACATTCTCTTTGTTTCTCTTTGTATTTTCATTGTGGCCTCCCTTTCCTGAAACTCAAAAACCAAGTTTGCACTTGTAAGGGTGATGGGGAAGACAAAGGGACTGCAGCCCTCTCCCAATCACTTGAGTCATTCAAGGTCAAGTTACAAATGTTAAAGGTCTTCTGATCTGAAAAAAAAAAAAAAAGAAAGAAAGATATAGCACCCTACATCCTATACTACAAAATAAAATCTTTTTATATTATGAAACATTAACTATAAAATGAATGCAAAGAACCCTAATGAGTCCCGGTTTTTAGGTGCTTTTTAAAAATACCATACTCTAATGATTCTTTCCTAGCACTAATGCCAGTCCATCAAAGCCACCTGCCCAGGAACTTCAGAGCCCAAAGACCCTGCCCTCCGGGAACTTCGGAGCCCATCAGGTCACCTGCCACTGTCCTCATTTGTGATTGATGCTGGCCCCGGGTGTTGAAGGTTAGGGTTCCCACAAGAACCAAGCAATCAGCTATCCGGTTCAGAGAGATCCCAGGAAGCAGTCAAGGGAAGTGGGGAGCCCTGAGGCTGGCTGGCGGTGAATGTTTGCCTTCCTGAGAAGCAGGGTGGATCTGGGGCTGTGGCCAGCACCCCAGCCATGTTCACGAGCACAGAGCCCGGATGCTGTGCATCGGGCTGTCAAGGCAGGTGCTGGCTTTGCTCTACTTTTCTCTCATGCTGTGGGGTCTGTGGGTTATCAGGGCAGAAACACAGGGTTTGAGGCTGAGGACCGGTACCATGTAACCCACATACACTGGCCCAGGCTGACACCAGGGAGGAGCTACTGAGCCAAGTGACGAAGTACATGGATTCTAGGATGGGGAAGGATTGGGGCAGTAATGCAATCCGCCTCTTCCATCTGGGTACTCTCCACTGAATGTTGTAGCAATGGGACATGACTCAGCTTGTGACCAATTGTAATGCTGTCACCTCTTAGTGCAGTAGGGAAGTCCTCCTGAAATCTTAGCTGATAAACTAAGTCCCTTGATAATGGGGACAATGTAAGTCTTGTTCACGTACTGTGAAATAAATACTTCTTGGCTAAATATCTACCTACTGATACATAAAGGGAAAATCAATTGATTCTAATGTAAAAGAATAAAAAGGCTAAGAACAAAATACCAAACTGGAGTCCAGACAGGGATTTAGTCTCTCTTCTGCTTGGAATTAGCTCTTTTGCAATCTTGTATAAAATCTATGATCGGTGGGCCTCAGTGGGACAATAGGATTTGACCATCTCTCAGGGATTCCAAGGTTCTAGATACCCATCAGCCTGGGCTCTGAACTTTTATAAAGGACCATTGTCTTAGTTACTTTCTGTTGTTGCTGGACAAAATACCCAGCACCCAAGTTAAATGGTAAAGGGTTTATTTAGCTCACAGTTTGTAGAGGTTTCAGTCCATAATTGACTGGTTCTAGGATAGAGTGGTACATGATAGAGGGCCAACAGGCCATGGCAGCAGAATACAGCAAAACCACAAGAGACAGGAGAAGAAACAAACCTCTTTCTGTCTTTTATATTATGTACAGGCTCCCAGGATTAGAACGGAGCCAATCCAATCAGTGGGCTGATCCATCAATCACCTGTCCCTAATCCCAGTACCCTTAATCCCAGCATTGCACCATGAATCAATCACACAGTCTAGATTCAGTTACCTCCCAAAAAACTGACACGTGTGGCTTTGGGGGGACATCTAGACAGAAATCATAACAACCATCTTGTCTCTAGTCTGACCGTTTTACTTGGATTCCTCTACACTATCTATCCTTGAGGTCCGCCTTCTCTCCAGGCTCTGCCTAGGAGTGTGCCTTTCATTCCTGCCAGGAACTTGGTGGCCCTTGGAATCTGCACACATTTCTCCTAACATGCTCCTTTATCATTTCTGTTTCTCTGTATCTGTTTCTAATGTTGCTATATTTCTTCCACTTTATCATCCAGCTCGCAAATGCAGTTTTAATCTTTATTACCCCCTTTTAAATGTTTTCATCGAATTCTCAAATAAAATGTTTTTAGTTTCTGAAACAAAACATTGTAATTGTGTCATTTGTGCTGTTTTGGGGACAAAGTT